GATGGGTGGTTTCCTCTGATGCTGTTTATAACCTCTCTCTGACCACTGCATGGTCAGCTATGGGAACGTTGTTTGTTGCCTGTGCTACAGAGATTCAGGATGAATATCTCATGGATTGACAAAAGAACAAACAAGTCTCTCTTAGAGGAAGTGCAACCAGAGTGCTCCTTAGAGGCAAGGGTGGTGAAATTTCATCTCACATACTTTGGCATTATGTCATGCCTTGGAAAAATACATTATGCTGGGAAAGGTGGAAAGTCAGAGAAGGAGGAAGACCTGCAACTCAAGATAGATTGACACAGCACATTGGTGCACAATACATTGGCTCAAGTATGTCTGAGACTGTGAGTATGGTGCAGGACAGGGCAGGGTTCAGATCTGTTATTCATAGGGCAACTGAGCCTAGTCCAGCTTGAAGACAGCTAACAGTAACAGATGTATCTGATGACTACTGAAAAAGAATGGTGTGTTTCAAATTCTTCTTCTCACTCTAGCTGCAGAGTTTCAAGTAGAGTATAAATTGATAGGAAGATACTGCCCCTTTGGGAAGTTAGATTAAATGTCATCCTTCCAGTGGTAGAAAGCCTATCAGAAACAGTAGCCACTCAGGAATAGCTAGGAACTGATAAAGCATACATAACAGCTCTTAGTGTCCAAGGTCTGTGCAGGGGACTCAGAGAGAACTGTTGATGATTTTATTTGTTCAAAATAAAGGTATCAATAACTTACATCTTACTACATTACTGCTTTTCTGTACTTGGGGCTTACTGTTTCCCCTCAAAGAATTTAACTATTCATGTACTTATCTTGAGGAAGATTTTTCAAGTTTCTGTTTTTGATCACTCTGGCCAAATGATCAGTTTGTTGGCATTAAGTTTGCTGCATTCACCCAAGTTACTTATGAACCAAAACCTGTTGTGTTAAAAATTTTTTAAAAACATGTTTTTTGAGGATAACAAATAATTGGGTAGTGAGCAATTTGTATCAAAAAGAACAGTTTTAATAGCTTTTTTATTCTTAGAAGGTACCATTCCTCTGTTTTATTCTTTCCTAGTTGTAGGTTTTTCATTATGCATGAAAGTCTGTTCATGCTATAGAGGGCTTCCAGAATTTGATGAGCCACTTTTAACATTTTAGTTTTATTTTCATATTTTACTACCACTAGGTGGAGCCCTACACACACACACACACACACACACACACACACACACACACACACACACACACACACA